TACCCCCTTGAACAGCTTACAGTAATAAAACCAGACTTTACAATTATTTCGCAAACCAGTGGTATTTTCGTCTAATATGATTAGACTGTGAAGAGTTATCCAATTTGGATACAGCCATAAGTGGCTGTTTATTTTCATATGTTATAATATTCGGTAGACGTTATTCTTTAGACTAGCGTGCATTTGCAACAATTTGCCATCCCAGTGGACCGTTACAATACCCATCCGGTACCTCGCTTTGAAAATCAAGCTTTATAGCGCTCCTTTCGCTTTTCGGTACAAATTCTTTGAATGGAGGACTTCTGCCACTAATTTTGGAGATATGAAACTTTTCGTCATTTGAGTTTGATTAGTATCAGGCTGTGTGCTCTGAGTTTGGATAGGCAAACTTTCATGTAAATCTATCTTGTAATGGGGAGATGAATTTCAGTGCACTGGTTCGTAAGATGTTGCTGAAGTACTTAAAGAAGCAACATTCGTTGCTCAAACACTTCTTACATACACCCTAATTGTAAAAACAAGACTTTGAAAAGAATATTTAGTAAACAATGTCCTTCTAATAGTATATATCTAAGAAATATGATACAAATAAAGCTGTTTTATTTGTCGTATAATAATTAGGTTTTGAAATCCATACATGGTTTCCCTATTAACTTCCAAATTCAAAATTTGACCGAAAGTCGGCACAGGTTATCGTTCCCCGATTGTAAAATATTTATTCTTCGAGTTGTTAGGGTCAAATGGAAAAAATTATAGGATACGCGTTTGAAAAAAAAGGAACTTTAATTTTTTTTGAAACACCCCAAGTCCACTGATAAAGAAAACAAAACTTTGTTTATGTTATTCTAGGAATAAGACAGGGTAAAAAAGTGTTGTAGAAGTCATCGAGAGACATTTAAAATATTCCCATCTTTGCTCTGAGAATATCGAACAGATCCCAACTAGCAAAGTAGTGGTATAAGCTTAAGCTTTTGGTAAAAGAACCGTTCAGCCATAAAAGCTCTCTATTGATGTTGCCTGAACACCAAAATGTTGTGTGGAATGCAAATTTGCTTTCGGCAACATATTTGCTCTAAAATGAGGTGTTTAAAATATTGTTATAACATCTTATAGGGCAAATTTTTAACTGTTACATAAACGTTTATACAACTATTTTATACGGCATATTTGCACGTTAGTCAAAATGGTTGTGATGTGGCATCCATGGTTACGTTTATAATCCGAGCCTTGTTGTTTTGCTGTGCAATTTACTACTTTAGCCAACAAATTGCTCCCAACGGAAGCACTTATACAACTGTTGTTTAGTAACTGTTAAAAGCTGTACATATGCTAAATATGTTGGTAAACAACTTCACCATAACCTAACTTTCTGCTGTCATATTTTTGTAAAATGCCATAACCAATGTTTTAAGACAAACAACGCATGCATATTGGTTCAAAAGGTTTTATCAACTGTTCAAACAGAATATATAGATCTGGTACAAATTCTGGGTAAATCATTCGACTCTGTCGGTATTTCATTTCAGACATTTGTCAAATTGTTGTATAACACCTGCAGGCAACACCAAAATATTCTAATAACCTAAAGACAACATGGACGATGCCATGATTGTACACAACCACCCGCCATATTGGGCAAACATTTATTCCTCTATTTAATATTAAATAATTATGTTTCAGTTCAAAATTACAGATATAAAGAGATAAACATTAGTGTAATTGCGTCTAAATATAGGAATTGTGGAAGATTTAACTCGGATAAGTTCAGTTTTCCATCTTCAAAATCTAGACATACTTTTGATCATTGTCAAAATATGAATCAAATACAAAGCCCGTAGAAATTGGGTAACTAATTTGCACGATAATCACAATAAAATTGTCTGTGCAAGTAATTCAATAGCCCTATATCACAGTGTAGAAGGTTATCATATACCTATGAAATTCACAATGACCGATATGTAAGTAAACAAGATGACTGTAATGTGTTAGTTATATATTCTTCACTTCGTCTGTACAATACATAAGAAATAGTTTGGTTGCAATAAAGTAGAATCACGTAACAGAATAGTTGTGCAGTTTACAAAAACTGAATCTTGCACTAACGCAAATGTCCTATAGCGGCAGCAAGAGGCTTACACTTTTGTTTTATAACTGTTACCTGCAGCCCTTAAATGACTGAAGTGTCCTATTAGGTGTGCCCATTCCACTTGTATAGCTGTTCTAAGAGGGTCTTGCCAATGTTCTTACAGTATACAATGCTGCTTAAGGAATACTGTATAATCATTCTTGCAACTCTAATAGGAGTGATAATTGTTAGTTGGGATACTCGTACGTACGAAGCTTATACACTTTTTAAACGTATTCTATGGTATTATCACTGAATATATTTTGACATGCTCGAAGACAAAACTATGCAAATTGGCTATCTAATTACAGTTTTTTAAGATTAAGACTAGCATGGCGGTCTTTCCTTGTCTGATTTTTGACATTACCTTTGTAAAAACCTGCTTGTTACGTACATACGTATGGAAGTAAGTGGTAATTACAACATATTTCGTGAACGCCATAAAGGTCTGAGTAGATGAGAAACGCCACAAATTGAGCATGAGTTCTTGGATACAGTTTTTTTATTTTTGGCACAATTTCCTCGTGGAAAAATATTCCAATGACGTTTTCCCATATAAGTGTGTTTATTTGTCGCTTTTAGTGTTGTCTTGCACTCGCAAGCTGATATTTCTCCTGGGAAAAGTCGCCAAATGCGTAGACTTTTTGCTTCGTCACGTATTGTATCCCATTATTGACAATTACATACAAGATTCCCTTTTGATGTCGAAGTACTATTTCTGGCACTTCACATCTATGGTCAATGCATATGCATTATTATTAGTCAAATATTGAACGATCAGTTAACCGGTATATTCTGGGCGGGTTTTCGGATTCTCGAAGAACGTTTGGCGTTTTCGGGACGATGGTCGATGGTGACGTACCTGCTCCATACAAAAAACGACAGATAAGCTTGTGGTAGCTTGTCGCGTTGGGGAAAATCTATCTGCGCAATGTGCAGAACGTCGAACAGTTATGAGCGGGTAGCGTATAGGTGCACGGAACTACTGTTGCAGCAGCGTCGGTACTAATTCTTATTCAAGTCATGTCACCGGACGTTCCGAGAAAAAAGTATATGTTTTGAACATGGATTGGACATTTTATTGAAATAAATCTAATAACAATTGAGAAACAAGGGTTAAGGATAACAATAAGCTCTGGGATGCTATGGGATTTTGGTACTTTGGCAACACTGGAATTTTCGTTATGTCATATTGTTTTTCGCAGTTGAGAATGAAATATTCGCACTCTTTTTAATACCAAGTCGCTTATATTTCGAAAACTATGAACTCCAGAGGAAAAAGTTAATAAAAACCATACTTGTCTGGAGCAAACAAAAAACGATTTTGGGAAATTGCTTAAAAAATCATTTAACCATTTTTTGTGCAATTCTGGGATGACATCAGAATTGTTTAAAGATTTCGTTTTTGCATAAGATCGTACAAAAAACGAATCATAATAATATCGCTAACGTATGCGAAGATACTTTTTAGACTAAACCCAACTAACAATTATCACTCCTATTTCGGGTTGCAAGAACGATTATACAGTATTCCTTACACAACATTGTATGTTGCAAGAGCATTGATAAAACGTTCTTAGACCAGCTGTACAAGCGAAATGGGCACATCTAATAGAACACTGCAGTCATTTAAGAGGTTATATAAGAGCTGTAGTAACAGTTATACAACAAAAGTGTAAGCCTCTTGCAGCTGCTAAAGAGCATTTTCGTCAGTGTAAGATTCATTTCTTATCAATTATACAACCATTCTATTAGATGATTCTACTTTAATGCAACCAAACTATTTCTTATGTATTGTATAGGCGAAGTGAAGAATATATAACTAACACATTACAGTCATCTTGTATACTTACATATCGGCCATTGTGAATTCCATACAAAGGTATATAATAAGCTTCTCCACCGCCATATAGGGCTAGCAAATGGCTCCCGTAGCAAATTTTATTGTGATTATCGTACAAAGGAGGAACGCAATTTCTATGGGCTTGGGATTTGATCCATATTTTAGTAATGATAAAAAATACGTCTACATTTCAAAGATAAAAATATATTTATTACAAAGTATGGCGGGCGGTTATGTGTAATCATGGCATCGTCCATATTGTCTTTGATCTATTAGAACATTTTGTGTTGTGAAATACGCATAGAGTCAAATGCGAGAGACTTTGTGCCAGATCTATATCTCCTTTTTGGAAAATTGTTAGAACCTTTAAAACGAATATTTATGCGCTGCTTGACTTAAAATATTAGTTATGGAATTTAACCTCAAAAGATGACAACAGAAAGTTAGGTTATGGTGAAATTGTATAAAAGTTGTGATATTGCTACAGATGTACAGCCTTTAATGGTTGGTAAATGATAGTTATATAAGTGCTTCCGTTGGGATCAATTTGTTAGGTAAGGTAGCCATTTTGCACACTAAAACAACAAGGCTCGAGTTTGTTGTATAAATGCTAGCATGGATGCCACAACACAACTATTTTGACTACCGCACCATATAAAATAGTTGTATAAATGTTTATGCAACAGTTCAAAATTTGTCTTATAAGATGTTGTATAGCTATGCTATAAGAATGTTTTAAACACCATCATTTAAGAGCAAATATGCTGCAGAAAGCAAATGTGTATTCCACACAACATTAAGCCAGCATTTTGATGTTCAGGCAGCAACAAAAGAGAACATTAACCGCTAAACAGTTCCTTTACCTAAAACTAGCACCACTTTACTAGATAGGCGATGGCTGGCCTCTTAAATTGCCTGGTGGGCTGAGGGACAAACGTAGGAAGAATCTGGCTTGACTTCCTAGTAACGCTATTAGCAACGCCTCTGCCCGACTATCAGTTTGCAGCTTGATAACGAAGGCATTTGTTTCAGATATCCGACTGGCGTTTCCCCTTCAAGCGGTCCAACCATCCTGTGTGCGTCCACCACGGCCGCACCAGAGTACTGTATAAGCTGAAACACTGCGAGGAGGGTGTTAAGGAGGGCACCGAACTGTACGAGTACCTAGAAGCCGACCAATGCAAATGCCAGCTTTGCTCATCTTCTGACACCAGTTGCGAGGGGCTCAGATATAAGCATGGTAGGGAAGCGCTGGGATTCCGTATCAATTTTTAAGTCTTGAGGTTAAGGTCTAGCTTAGTCGTCCTTTTATCAATGAATACAGGCTAGCAGAACAAATGTATTCTACGTGTCTGTTTCAAACCGCCGCTCAAAGTCAATCGAAGGCTTCTAAGCAGGCGGTCAAAAATTATGCGTTTCTGATAGCTTGTGCAGCTTGTACTAACAACGATTGGCTGACTGAAATAGAAACTGCATGCAAACGACTTCTAACTAAACTCTTCGTATCCCATAAACTTTGTTTCTACTGCAAATGTGTTGAAAAGTTACTCGAATTCTCCGTACTCGTAGATACAAGTGACGATCCAGGCACGAAATGTGTTTTATGCTTCAACCACCACAAACTCGTATTGCCTGAATACCCGTAGGTACCGTGGAGCTATAGGGAGATACAGGAGAAGGGAGGCGTCTAACGAGGGACACATATGCATATGCAGACATTCTGGGCACGTCTCAGAGATCCACCGGCTGGTACCTCCACGTTCGACGGTCTGTGGCGGAGGGTAAGCTGCGCATAGAATAATACCTTAAAGAGGTGCTGTTATTTTTCCGGGCATTTGGACGATAAATCCTAGATCAATCTGGTTTACAAAAAATCAAAATACCCGAACCTTTCCAAAATTTTCTACCTCAAGCTGAAAAGGTCTTACCTTCGGATAATGATTATACTTGATGTCGGGCTCTGACAATTTACTGGAAAATAAAAGAAAACACCACAGCATTTCAGGGTGCGATGAACCGGTAGTTCTATTTGCATTTGCGATTTCAGCTGGCATGACTACGATGTCAGTGGAATAGTTACACGTTATAATTTTTCATCTGTATGAATCATTGATTTTAAAAGGACGACTATGCTAATGCGTAGAAGGTAACAAAGACATGTGAACGAGGAGTTAGAGCACAACTTCATTGTTAGTCTAATATTAGGTGCAAATACCCCTGGTTGCGAAATAATTGTTAAGGCTGGTTTTATTGATGCAAGTTGTTCAATGGGCTAGGTACTTAAATCATGGACGCATAAAATGGGTACACCAATGTTTGTGGAAAAACTTTCGACAAACATGGAACGAGAAAACGTGTGTTTTGGCATTTAATCGAAAGTGGGACGAAAAAACTCGTTAATTAAATTTTTTTGATATTTACGAGCCCTACAGAATGAGACCACATGTAGAAAGATCGCACTAATAATAAAAAGGTTATGGCTGAAAACCGAGAGAAAATGCAGGTTCTGAAATTCTTCAAATCCGTATGGCTTGTTACTTCTAAATAACCTCAACAAAATTGGAAACGACTGGTCAAGTAGTTTTTGAGAATTTTTAATTGGTTGTCCCAAAACACCTGTCTTCCGGCCATCACTACTAGTTTATTGAGCAATATACAGGTTTCGTTCAAAGTGCATTTCATAGCAAAATACACGAGTTTACCTTGACAGCATGATTCACAAGCCATTTCGAAATATAATTGTTATTTTTATGCGAGAGTTACGTTTTTTTATTCTAAAGAAGTTAAAACATTTATTATTTGTGAGTAATTGAACAGATTCGCTACGATATTCGAAAAACAGACGTTATTATAGACACTTTAAAACAAAGCAGATGTGTCTATCACCTTTTGTTGCGAAGAAAAAAATTTATTTCAGGGTTTCTTCATACTCTTGTGTATACATATTTAGAGCTGAAATTTTGCACTGTCACACATGAGCCTTAAAGTATATAAAAAAATTATTTCATACTGAAATGCACTGAACTGTTTATAAAGTTAGCACGTAAACTAAAGACACAATTATGTTCCAAACTGTATCAGACTAGCTAGTTTGTAGTTTGTGCTAAATGGCTGCATTATTGCTGACTGCATGATAGGTCAGGTAATCCAGTTTCTTTGCGACGAAATATAATTCCATGGACCTTTTTTCTGAAAGTATTAATATAGTACGTATCTGTTTTCGAAATCTCGTACAATTAAATCGAGTGTGAGTTCAAAATGCTGGAAAATAAATTCGAGAAAACAAAAAAACAGTAGACAAATATCAACCAATTGTAACGAACTGACGATCTGAAAAATCATTGTATCTTGTACAGTTTTCAAGTATAATGGTATAAAGATCCAGTAATCCAAGAGGCATCGTAGTGTAGTGGGAAGGAATAACGATTGCAGAACCGCAGGATCTAGGTTCGAATCCACAAAGCTGCTTTGTTTTAAAATGTGTAAAGTATCATATATCGTAGTGAATCTGTTCAATTACTCACAAATACGAGATGTTTGAATTTGTTTAGAAGAAAAAAACGTAACCCTTCCTTCTTCGCATAAAAATAACAATCATCTTTCGGAACGGTTTGTGATTCACCTCGGTAAGGTAAACTCGTGTATTTTGCTGTACCTATATTGTTCAGTAAACTGGTAGTGATGGCCGAAAGACAGGTGTTGGGATAAGCAATTCAAAATTCTCAAAAACTACTTAACCACTCGACTCCAATTTTGTTGTAGTTATTCAGAAGCCTACCGATTTGAAAAATTTCAACTAGTTGCGAGAAATTATCGCCGCATGAGCAACAAGTATCTAAACCTGCATTTTGCCTCTATTTTCGGCCGCAACTTTTTTATTGCTTGTCGGATCTTTTTAGGTGTGGTCTCATTCTATATGTCTCATAAGTAGCTAAAAATATGGAGAGTTTTTTCGTTCCTGCCAACACTTTCGATTGAATCCCAGAAAACACGTTTTCTCGTTCTTTGTTGTCGAATAAAAAGTTTTCCTACAAAAATTGGTGTACCCATTTTATGAGCCTATATGTTAAATACCCCCTTGGACAACCTACATCAATAAAACCATCTATTACAATTGTTTCGGGAAAATCTGCTAATATGGTTGTACTATGTGATTTGTTTTGTTGCAGCTTAAATTTTGTATGCTCCCTGTTAGTGTTCTTTGGTTTATGATAGCGTTTCTGAATTATCTAATTTGAAGATACTCACGAAAGCTATGTTTGTGTTATATTGTCATATTTGTAAAACGATAGATATTTGAAGGTATAAAAAATTGTGACGCCTGTCTGTCGGATGCCGCTATGTGGAACGCGTACGTTTCGACTGGTGGAGGTGGTATTATGGGCCCAAGAACTTAAGACGTAAATAAGAACCATGTACCACTCCCAAAGAAGTCCCCAAGACTGAACAGTTTTGTTCATTCGGTAAGAAAGCATAATAATATCGATAAAATACCAATCTAAAAGTCTCTACTAGAACCAGTCAGACATCAAATAGATCTAAGCTGCTTTCAGACAGTACCAGTTGTCTCAAACTGCGAGTGTGTGGAGCAGTTAGTTTATATTCATTTAATAAGACGAGGAATATCTTATCAATTATTTCGCCTTCTGTATCCAAATATTTACGACCTGATGCTTAATAGCTGAAATTAGTTCTTGACACCCTAGACAATAATGATTTGACATGATAATTTCGATACTGCTATGACAGTTTCTATATTTTATGGACGATGATCATGACGGTTGATGCTAATAACCAGGCAATGACGTGAATGCTCATTTAAGTTGGGCAGTGCTGATGAAGTCTGGAAAATAGCATTAATACGCATAAATGAGCGGTTAATATTGGGATGTAGTGGATTTTAAGGTTGTTTTACACCCAAACTGTGGTTATGTTTTTGCATTGCTACCTTTTTTGAGTTAGTTCTAAGCCAGTTTCAATATTCAAACCAAGTTTTGATGAAATGTGTTGTCGACTTACGAGAAGAATTAATGCCATTTTAGTAACAAAACGCGATCACGACAAATGCCAAATTACCGCAACAATCAGTTATAATCAAGTGTTAAAATCAGTCTAAATTATCATGTCGGACCATACGTATGACTGCAATGCGATGTCAAAATTGTCTTGACAGCATTCTCCACTGGAATGCACTGGTGCATTTCACCAACTTAGTCATTCTGGCAATATTGTTATCATTGTAGTGTATTATCCAGAGCAAGTATATTATTATTTGACTGATCCGCCTAATCTACTTATCATAATTTTTTGCTTCCAAATCCCGTTCCAGTCGACTGATTTTGAGAAAGTTGTATTATGTAGAATCTACAAGTTATAGAAATAGTCAAAACTGAGGCATTATGGCTTAATACGTCATGATCCGTAAAATTTCTTGGAGCACAAATGATACTGCGTGTAGAAAACGCTTTGCAAGAATTTTCTCAGTGGAACAAACGACGATAGAAGAAATTGTACTAAAGTACCCGTCAGAGCCCTCTAACCAGAAAAAGTTTGACATTAGCGTAAAGTCCATGCCAGTGGAAAACGCTATCAGCTGGAATTAGACTCTATATCTATGATGGCAAGGCGACTTCGAAATTAGTTTGATGGGTCGAAATTCGGTTAAAATCATTTCCAGCTGCCCACACCTACGCACTAATTTAAACATAAAATCCCCAAACTTCTCGAGTTATACTGATCCTGCGGTGCAGTACAGCTCCAGCAGATAATTTCCATAGGTTTTAGCTGCTTAGTAGGGGCAGGTCACTTGACCGAAGGCTTAGATGACCGCCCCTTTGAAAGATACAAACTTCTTAAGCTGGGCCTAGTTACGTTTAGTTCACGAGCATTGAATTGAACGGAATTTCAGCTGAATTATCTCATTAGGAGTGATGCGGAATTCTCTTGCAATTATGTTTACTGTAAGTGGCATCAGTATGTATTGCATTATAGGTACTAACTGAGTAATTGTTATTTAAAACCTAGTGGTAGAATGTCTTTGAGTTAGAAAAAATATCCATGACACTGGTTTGTGCTTTTTGCTACAATTATGTTACAAAACTGTTTGGTTGTCTCTCTCTGGAAATAATTACTACTTAATACCTATCTTGTCACACATTTAGCACTATAGGTCTAGCAAAATAAAACATGCGCTTAATTTATTGTTATTATCTATTTCCGATAAGACTATAAGTTCCAAATACAGAAAGTCAAGCTGGACCTTAGACAAACTATTTTCTCTAGTTTGTGTCACATATTTGAAACTGATTCCGATGGTTCTAATTTGTTTCTTAGGAACAATCGAAATGTTTTACAGGATCTAATAATTTCCACAAATTCGAAGTCTGTAGGCCGTCATAGCAGCATTTACCAAGGACATTTCACTACAATATATCCTAACAAATCTTATTTCATCGCATAAAAGTAACTCCTGTATGTTGAAATGTAATAAAAGCTTAATCGGCTACAGAAATATATTGTTTCATTGCCCTCCACAAATTTAGGCTCAAGGCAGGGTTTGGCATATGAAAACCGCCGTTACATCGCATCCTCCCGAACTCCTGCGTATCCGTATACAGGGTGTTCGGAAAATAGACGGAGTTACTTTGGAAGGTTATAAAAAGATATGAACAAAATTTTCTATAAACATGGGTTCGGAAATGATACAAGATATAGGGTGATAAATAAAAAAAATAATAATATCTTAAAAAATATTCACTCGATTCTGTTGAAATTTGACAATATTATTTGTTGTATTAAGAGGCTAAATAAGAC